GGGGGTTTCACCATGTTGGCCAGGCTGGTCTCGAACTCCTGACCTCATGATCTGCCCGCCTCGGCCTCCCAAAGTGCTGGGATTACAGGCGTGAGCCACTGTGCCCAGCCCTCAAGACTATCTCTAAACAAACATAAAAGACCAGGAGTCCAGGTTATGGTACGATGCCCGTGTTTTCGCTCCAGCCATGGAGCTGGGTCTCTTGTTTTGAGCGGAGCTGTGTGACAGAGTGTGCCTCTCTCTACAGTGCTCCTCGTCTTCCTCTGCTTGGGGGCCTTCCTCCTCTGGAAGAACTGGCGGCTGAAGAGCATCAACAGCATCAACTTTGACAACCCTGTCTATCAGAAGACCACAGAGGATGAGGTCCACATTTGCCGCAACCAGGACGGCTACAGCTACCCCTCGGTGAGTGACCCCCTCTAGAAGGCCAGAGCCCATGGCGGCCCCCTCCCGGCTAGAGGCGTAGGATTCTCAGGCCGAGGCTTCCCCAGCCCTCCAGATCGAGGACGGCCTTAGGTGAATGCTTCTGTGCGCTCGTTCAGAATGTCAGCGGACAACGGCCTCGGTGATGTAGAGGAACGCTGGATCAGCGAATAGAGTTCCATCAGATGGTGACGGGGCAAAGAAAGTCAAAAGGAGTTCAGAGGCCAGGCGTGGCGGCTCACGCCTGTAATCCCAGCACTTTGGGAGGCCAAGGTGGCGGATCACCTGAGGTCAGGAGTTCAAGATCAGTATGCCCAGCATAAGGAAACCCCATCTCTACTAAAAATACAAAAAATTAGCTGGGCGTGGTAGCGGGCACCTGTAATCCCAGCTACTTGGGAAGCTGAGATAGAAAAATCGCTTGAACCCGGGAGGCGGAGGTTGCAGTGAGCCGAGATCGCACCACTGCACTGCAGCCCGGGTGGCAAGAGCAAAACTCCATTTCAAAAAAAAAGGCGTTCAGAGGCCGGACGTGGTGGTTCATACATGTGATCCCAGAACTTGGGGAGGCTGAGCAGGTGAATCACCGGAGCTCAGAGTTCATGACCAGCCTGCGCAGCATAGCAAGACCCCATCTCTGCAAAAAAATAAAAATTTAGCCTAGACAAGCACCTATAGTTACAGCTACTAGGGAGGCTAAAGCAGGAGGTCAAGACTGCAGTGAGTCGTGATTGCACCACTGCACTCCAGTCTGGGTGACAGAGCAAGACTTTGTCTCTTAAAAAACAAAACAAAACTCAAAGAAGGGTCTCCAGAGGGCTGGGAGGGAGGAAGGGGGAGGAGGTGTTTCTTGTGTGTGTTTTTGTTGTTGTTGTTGTTTTGAGACAGGGTCTTGCTTTGTCACCCAGGCTGGAGTGCAGTGTTGCGATCTTGGCTCACTGCAACTTCTGCCTCCTGGGTTCAAGCAATTCTCATGCCTCAGCCTCAGCCTCCTGAGTAGCTGGCATTACAACACTATGCCCGGGTAATTTCTGTATTTTTAGTAGAGATGAGGTTTTGCCATGTTGCCCAGACTGGTCTCGAACTCCTGACCTCAAGTGATCCACCCGTCTTGGCCTCCCCCCGTGCTGGGATTGCAGGCGTGAGCTACCATGCCCACCTTGATCTTCAGACAAGGGGTTTAGGGTAGGTAGGCTTCTCTGAGCCAGAGGAACAGCCTGTGCGAAGGCCCTGAGGCTGGACCGTGCCTGTTGGGTTTGAGGCCGTTGTAGC